CCCTTCGACGGGCTCGTGTCGAGGTCGTAGTAGTCCGCTGTCAATTCCAACCAGCACTTGTCCTGGAGCTCATCGAAAACTCGCCCGGCTGTGGAAACAACTGACGGGTCGTAGGGTGCAAACATGTCATTTTCGGCCCTCACTTTCTGGAGGACCRAAATCCTCGCGAGGTGCAGAAAGGTGGACTTCGACTCGCGCGGAATCGACACCCATCCCCCATCCGGGACTGTGACGGCCATGACCCACTCGCCCTTCTGTATCGCTGGCCGGATGACACCTGGATGCCAAAGCATGTCATGGCCCCAGTCTGCCTCAGGCGAATGGCTTTGTGGCGCAAGCAGGAAGTGGATGTTGTCATCCTTCCATGACGGATGGTCGGGCGGAATGTCAGACCCGGGACGCATAGCGCGCGGGGGGATTGCCATAGCTCTCAGCCTCTCCAGCAACTTCATCGGCGTGCTGCCCGGCCACGGTCTTGCCGTTGGTGACACGAGTGGTGCCGCCGCTGCCGCGCTCGATGACGGACCGACCGACGACGTCCCACGGGCRTGCTCCGCCGGTGCTGGATCATACTGCAGGTCGAGGCTCTCGGTGTCGCTCTCCTCCTCCTTCGCATTAGCGTCGAACTCAACACCGGTGGCTTCCTCGTCGTCAATGGAGATCAAGGAGGCGTAACTGGCTAACTTCAACTGCTGCTTGGACTCAACGAAGTACAACGACTGAAGCCTGTCAAGAAACGTCTTCGCATTCATGCAGGAGGCGGAATGGTGGTTGTCGATCAATGCCAACATGTGGTCCTTGCGACGGAGGTACTCGGCATCAGTGTCCGTCCTCGGCCTCGTTCGGAGGAACAAGAAGTTGTATATCTTGTTCCTCTTTCTCTCGCTTAACTTGAACCACATGTCCGTTCTGTTGTTCCACACCCGATTCCGTGTCGCCTTCGCGACCATTAACTCGCAATCATGCGCCCCGGAATTGACCTCGCTTTTGACCAGTTGCATCGTGAATTGCAAAAGGTCGGAGTTCCCTTCCATTGCGACCACATGCCTGCCCGCTTTCAGAAGCTCCCACACGCTTCCCGCGTGTGGTTTCCCGAGGAAGACGACACCCTCTCCCTTCTTCGAAAGAAAATCAAGAAGACCGACGAATTGTATCGGGTTGYGTTCCATGTCCCCGTACACACTGCCCTGTCGTTCCGGCGCGGTCTGCGACCAGTCACAAGGCGAGAAGGGAATCTCCGACACATCCGTTGGGGTAACCCTCTGAGGCAACCTCACCGCTGCAGCACCACCCTTAGGCAACCTTCCCTCATAGACCACGGACGTGTTTACGGGCAGATCGTCGCCCTTGAAGAGGATGTACATGCGGTCATCCTCGGTGTACAAATTGTTCCCCACGGGGAAGCTTTTCTTTTGATGGGTCCTCCTCACCCACTTCCCTTCCAGTAACTTCACGAATGAAAGATGGTGCATGCTGGCGAGAAACGAGAGGTTTTGCTGCCGCGACACGAAAACAACGAGAGTCCAATGCGAAGGATATCAAGTCTGAAGATAGGAATTCAGAGTCTCCCACGCTTGGGGTTTCCACAGTGTTAGGTCAACCGGCTCGCACAGATCCAGTACGAAGGTGTGGCTCTTCGTGGCTGCCACTGCCTCCTTCAATTCTGCACCCCTGATGTCAGCCTCCAAAGGGTCGTTGCCGAACGGCGCGATCGATGTCACGTCCCCCGTGTCTTTCCATTTGATGTGGACAATGCCTTCTGCTTGTGCGACCTCACGGCTCTTCAGTCTATTCCCTGTCAACACGGAGAGAACCTTGTTTCTCCAGTCGACCGTCAACTTCTTGTGGCCAGCCAATTTTTCCGTCGCCTCGATGGAGCGGTCATCCTCGCAACCCAAATACGGCGGGCAGTCCTTGAATAAAGCCGAATCCAAAACGTATTTCCTGCTACCGTCCCACAAATCGTCATCCAGCCCCCGACTTTCGAACTTCGTGAACACGGCTTGACCTGGATTTAAGGAACGGCTACGTTTGGATCCAATCCGCATCCGGCCTCTTCTCGTGCTTGAATTGGTAGTAATTCCACAGTCCGACGAGCACGCGGTCGCACTTCACCAGCTGCACCATGTCCTGCACGCTCAGCTTTCCCAGCTTCGCCAACGACGGGGAGCCTGCCTGGACCCAAACGACCTCGCAAGCAAGGACCTTCTTCAGAACTCGACACTGCTCACTGTCGGTGAGTGTTTCCATCACTTTCCAACAATGCGCGTCCGAGTCCGGCACCTGCATGAACCAATCACCCTCCTCTTTCTCCTTTTTACCTTCTTTGGTTGGCGGCTCCACGGGGACGTTGTAAACCACCTCCTTTCTGCCCTACTTCTCGTTGTCGATGTATGTCACCCCGGGCTTGACGTTTTTGACCTTCTTCTTCTTGACGATCCACTTAGCCCCATCGTGGCTCAACAATCTGCCAGTCTCCCAAAT